CTCTCTCCTCGTTCTCTTTTCGCCTTCTTCTTCCTCCTCCTCTTTTTTCTTCGAGCTGACGGGCTGGGAGTGAATTGGGGTACGGTAGCGTCGCATCCGTTGCCACCAGATATCGTTGTGAGGCTCCTCAAGGATAATGGTTTCGATAAGGTGAAGTTGTTTGAGGCCGAACCTTGGGTGCTCAAGGCGCTCGGGAGGTCTGGGATTCAAGTCATGCTTGGAATACCCAACGAATTCTTGGCTCCGTTGGCGAGCAGTGTGACGGTGGCCGAGAAGTGGGTTATGCAAAATGTGTCTACTTTCATCTCTAAATACGGTGTTGACATAAGGTATGCAGAGGTATTTAGGATAAACCGTTTTGAGTATTCATGTGTGAGTGTACTCCCACGTTCGATCCAATAATAATCGAAAGAGTTATGGATTTAAAATAGAATTTTAAAATCAATATATACTAGTTATAGGTTTCAGGTTAAAGTTGAGCCTGGCTCACCATCAATTTGTATATATCCAAAACAAACTCGTGAGACCAAGTGCAATGGCAAGGCAACTCAAAAATTATTACATCCAATAGCAAGGCAAATTGAAAGGCAAATGAAAAAGTTGGAGAGAGAAAGACAATGGAAGGCAAATTTTGCCTTTGTGTTAAATTTCTTGTTGGGCCCCGCGTGTCATAAAGTTTTTACAATTATTCTCACCTTGTTTTTAAATGACTGTTTTGATCAATAATTACTCGAAATTAATTTTTTATTTTTTCACCACTATTTATTATTTTTCAAGATCTATTAATAGAGCTTGAGTTTGTGTTATTTGGACAAAGCAAATAAAACTTAATTTTTTACTTAATTATCATGATTGAGTGATGTGGAGGAAAGATAAAGTAAAAAACTTTTTGAAAAATTAGTTGTGGAATTGAAAGGCAATTGAAAAAGGCAAATGATGTGGAGGGAGAATAAAGTGAGGTGGAAGGAGAGAGAAAGACAATTTTTGCCTTGCCGTTGAAGATGGTCTGATAGTGGTTGCATTTTTTTATTAATATAATAATATAATATAATCATTTTTAAATCTGATTCGGTTTCATTTTTAAATATAATTTGTAAAAACTCTTCATCTCAGATACGTAGCCGTTGGCAATGAACCTTTCTTGAAGACGTACAAAGGAATGTTCCAACAAACAACATTTCCGGCCCTCCAAAACATAGAGGCCGCCATCATCAAGGCCGGCCTCGGCCGCCAAGTAAAGGTCACCGTCCCTCTCAACGCCGACGTCTACGATTCCTCCAACGGCCTCCCTTCCTCTGGCGACTTCCGCTCCGACATCCACACGCTCATGATCCAAATCATCAAATTCCTCCAAAACAATGGCGCCCCGATCATGATCAACATCTACCCTTTCCTCAGCCTCTACGCCGACCCCCACTTCCCCATCGACTACGCCTTTTTCTCCGGCACAGCAAACCCTGTTGTCGACGGCTCCGTTTCCTACACCAACGTCTTCGATGCGAACTACGACACCCTCGTTTCCGCGCTGGAAAGGAACGGGTTCTCAAATATGACCATCATCGTCGGAGAAATCGGTTGGCCTACGGACGGCGATGCCAATGCCAACATCGCGTACGCGCGAAAATTTAACCAGGGTTTACTGGACAGGATCAGCCAAGGTAAAGGAAGGCCCCGCAAATTCGATCGCCCGCCTGATTTTATTTTTTGGATTGATCGATGAGGATGCGGAAGAGCGTCGCACGCGGGGAATTTGAACGGCACTGGGGGATTTTTTACTAGTGCAGTGGGCACGGTCAAGTATCCGTTGAGCATTACCAACACCAGACTCTAGGTGGCGGCCAATAAGGGGTGTCAAATACTATAGCCAAACAGTGTGCGTCCTCGCGCCAGCGGCCGAGCATTGCGGACACAAACATTGCGGAATAGCGTCAACTACGCGTGCACGTAGTGCGGACTGGCACGAGCCTGGCTCGGGTCGTCGTGCAGTGGGCTCGATGCTAGGAGCAACGTATCGTATGCGTTCAATCAGTTATATCAGACCTTTAACCAGCAGAAGGGGGCTTGTAATTTTAACAATCTGTCGACCACGACGACGACCGATCCGTCGCAGGGAAATTGTACGTTTGAGATCATGATCGACGTCGGGGCCCACGACCGGACGGTGAACACGACCTCGGCGGCTGT